CTCCTCTTTTCTGCTGAAAGCTCCAGAAGAGAAGGTTGTGGGGGGGATCAGAGAGAGAGAGAGAGAATCTGTGTTACTGCAGAGGAGGAGGAGAGGCATCTGCACACACACACACACACACACACACACACACACACACACACACACACACACACACACACAGAGATACATGTGCGTGAACAGTCATGTACATTAAACATGCACAGCTGTGAGTTAACACTGTGTGTGGCTGGTACAACACTGCATGGACTAACTCGTTTAGACTTAATTAAAGGCTGATTACCAAGATGATTCTAATGGTGTATGCATTCTTAATGCACGCACACACTCACACACACACACACACACACACACACACACACACACACACACACACACACACACAGTCAGTCAGTGCTGTAGATGGGTGTGTTGAGGGTACGCAGGCTGTGGAGTAGGCAGCAATAAAAGACAGTGAGAGCCTCGTGAATCCACTCCCTTGGATTAATGCGAATGCTAATCACTGCCTTAATTAGTCTCCTCCTAATTCCCAATTAAGCCTGAGACTCACTTCGTCTGGTTTGTTGAAAGGCTCTTCCCCAGAAGCCCGGCGGCCTCACACCTCCCTGCAGCTGCAGCAGGTTCAGCTCCAGGTCGGGGTCAGGGTCAGGTCCTGGTCCTGGTCTCGGTCTCAGTGGACCGTTGATGTAGTGAAGAGATTCATTCGTGGATTCTACTGCAGCACCACTGTGTCCTCAGGTAAAGCTCTACCTGTACCAGGAAACGAAGTTGTCTGTCAGCAGCTTAGTATGACATCATAGTTATTTTTTGTTCTGGGGGGGGGGGGGGCGATCTTGATCATCATCTGCATTCTGTTTCTGCTCTGATTTTATTCTGAAAGTCCTGACAGGAAGTTGTGATCTGGATGTTTGAAAGCTCCACCCACCCTGCTGAAAAAAACAAAAAAAAATGGACTTTCGCGCTTTTATTTTCTAAAGAGGAAGTGATTCTGCGGGTCACTGGCTGCTCAGATGGAGATCTATTTATTATTTATTTTAAAAAATCATATTATCAACATAATCTGGTCGGCCAGATATTATTGCTGGTGGGCCAGTGTTGGCCCGCGGGCCGCCAATTGCCCACCGCTGCTTTAGGATTTAGACGAAGACAGAGCTGTCAGGCTCAGCTGGTCTGAGGCTGTCTGTACTGGGATGGAGACTGGGAACAGAGCAGTGCACTGGGCTGCTGCTGGGTGGAGGAGGGAGGTGGAGCAGCATGGTTGGTGTGGCGAGTCCTCACAGAGGACCACATGTTACACGCTGTAACACACACTCCTGCAGCTCTGTGTGGTTTGCTGCAGCAGTGCAGCACTCTGCTTCAGCCCTCTGCTGAGAAGAAGCTGATTGGTCGAGACACAGACTCTGTCACTCCCTGTTTCCACTGTGTTTTATGTCGAGCGCTCCTGTGACATTTGTGGTTAATTCCACTCTCTTAATTGGAAAGCAGGCTTGTAAGCAGCAGCTCAGGCTATTAAAAGCAATGTTGTAGCGCGGTGCACAGCTATTAATTGTAGTGCAGCCGAGGGGCCAGAAGGAGGCAGAGATGAATGAACAGAGGCAGAGAGAACACAGCACAGGGCAACGCTGAATTAATTACTGCTAACCTTGAACATGCAGTCGTCCCACAGGACAACAACAATGACGCACTGTGTGTGTGTGTGTGTGTGTGTGTGTGTGTGTGTGTGTGTGTGTGTGTGTGTGTGTGTGGAGAGAGAGAGAGAGAGAGAGAGAGCTTCAGTGTGTGTGATGTTGTTGATTTAAATACTTCCTCTCTGCATCAGGTCTCTTCAGGATGTGGATTTGAATAACTGTCATTCAGCAGAGAACAAAAGACACAACATCAAACACACACACACACACACACACACACATCAACATGTTAGAAACTCACTGACAACAGTTTTGTCTTCAACACAAAATGACATGCAGACAAGTTGTGGTTGGTTAATTAAAGGGCCAGTTGTGGTTATTTGACGGGGGGTGTGTGAGGTTGTCACAGTCGGTAAGTTACCTGCAGTAGATTGTCCCAGTCAGGAGATCCGACCGGCAGCACCTGCAGTGTCAGAGTGATGAGCTGCTGTGGGCGGGGCCACCAGAAAACACCTATCAATCCAACATCTGTTTGAATGAAGCTTCATGTAGAAGATTTTCATCTTTATCTTCCTGTGAAAACAGCTCTGTCCTTTGGCACTACATTTTTCAACCACTGAACAGCCGTATTCCTACGCACGAACAGCGCAAGAAGTGCAGAAGGAAAGTGCAGTTTTCACAGTCTGTGGATGAAGGTGGAGTTTAAACGCATGTGTGGTCTGACCCATGACCCCTGAGTACTGATGTAATAACGTAATAATACCTACAGTTCCCATGAGTCTGAGTGTCAGCGTGTTGACGGACTTCACATCAGTGAAAATGAGAGTTGTGGTTTGAACCCTCTGAGCTCCTGTAGATTAAAGGTGTCTGTCACTCATGACAACAGGAGCAGCTCATCCTGTGAGGAAACAAGCAGTGTATTCAATTAAATTTATTTTAGAATAATATCATATAATTATAGAAAAATAGAAATATAGAAACCAAATAAATGTATCCACCACCATCTCCTTTTTTGATAAGTGCTTTTACTTATATGTATGTATATGTTTATGTATGATTTTATTTGCAGTAGATGTTTGTATATATACATATATATATGTATATAATTTTATTCCTTTTTTCCTTTTCTTTATTTCATTATCAATTTATTCTATTAATGATAAAATGTGTATTTAATTATATTCATATTGTTATTGACATTTTTGTCTTTCTTTCTTTGATAATTTCAGTCTGTTGGATAATGGTAATTGTGCTTTGGCAGCACATGGAACATGTCGTGCCAGTAAAGCTGTTGAAGTGAGTAATGGATCGAAGCAGTGTCTCTATAAACCAGGGTCGTGACGTCAGTACAATCAACATAAGCAGACATCAGTGAGATCGATACTGAAGTGATCTGATCTCCGAACAGCTTCCAGCTCTTTAAGGATCCGGTGCCTGTTGAGAAGATGAGGAGAATCCTGGGATCTTTGGCTGGTGGGCAGCGATAGCGAAAATGTGCAGTTCAATAGCAGTTACGATATTGCACCATCATGCACACGCGCAGACGTGTGTTGAAACTACATTAGGACGCAGCAGCTAAACGAGCTAATGACGCTGATTTATCCTGTGTGTGAGATCTGCTGTCAGTTAGAGACAGAATGTTGTTTCAGGAATAGATCAGTACGAAGGTCGTGTGCGTAGAGAGAGAGAGCGGTGATGCTAGCGACCGCAGCAGCGTTAGCTAGCTAACAGTTAGCAGTGTAGCTGTGAACATAGAGCGCGATGATTGTGGACTTGAGGCTGTTTGTGCTTCATCTACATCACTGAGGCGGGAAAACACAGGACGGCCTCGTCACTAGAGTGAGTCATTGTCATTTAGTGGTAAATATTTCTGATTGAAGGGATTTTTTTATTTTTCCTACGTCACTGCTAAAAACCCATAGAAAATACAAGTGGATGATTTTGTAGAGGTGTTCAGCAGATCTGTAAAGCACAGGTTCAGATTTGTGTCTGTTAACACACACATGCACATCACAACAGGTAAAGTCTGTCAGAGGACGGTTCGAACACTTTCTCCATTTCTCTGTTACTCAGAGACCAACCGGACTTACATGAAACTTCCATCTGTCTGATGATGATCCACAGCTTTTAAAGATGATCGCATATGACAGATCATTACAGTATTTATTGGAATGGGAGAATTCAGATGTTGCAACTGACCCCAACCCTGAGGACGGTTCAACATTAAAAAATACATTAAATTTCATTTATTAACTTTTTCTTTTTGTCTCAATAAGCACATTATTCTGAAAATATGCATTGTTTTACATGTTGCATTTTTTGATGATCATGATACATCCAATAAAGTTTTAATCAATTCATAAAAAGCTCAGGACAGTTTGACAAAAATACTAGTTTTAGAGAAACATGCTGCAGCAGCTGCTGAAGTGTCTTCCTGGTCGGGGGAAGGGTCTAACTGAGCGTGTGATTCTTGTTGTCTCCCCTTCTCTTACACGCTGCAGATGTACAGTCACATATAGATGATGACAGATAAACAATGATAACAAACAAACAAATGGAAGAAAACTGAAGCTTTTTGTTTTTATATTTATATTCAGGATATCTGACCTGCAGCACTCGCTTGTTTCATCTTTGTTTATTTTTCTTCTCTTCTTTCTATGTTCATTGATATGAACCAAAACAAACTCCTCGAAAACCAACTTGGTCATAAACCAGATCCTGATTCTTAGAGCTGAGGTTAGGGTTAGTAACTAACAATGATTATCAATTAATATGAGGATTATTTTCTTGATTAATCACTTTGCCTATAAAATATATTTTATATTCACTGTCACATGAGACAAATCAACCAACGAGATTCATTTTTGCTGGACGTCAATGAATGAATTGATGGTCAGAATATTTGCTGATTGCTTTTCTAACAGTCTTGCTGCAGAACAGACTGTTTAACAGGCTGTTTAACAGGCTGTTTAACAGGCTGAGTGAACAGGGCTGTGACTGAGGATAAATATAATGTGAGTAAGAGGTGAGGAGATGGTTTCATGTTCCTATAATGAGAGTGTACGTTCAGTGAAGACAGAGAATTGTCTTGTGTATATCACACTGCAGTGTATAGGCAGAGGGCTGACACATGGTGTGTTGGTGCACTGCAGTGAAACATCCTCAGGCTGTTTCTCTCTCCACGTCGCTCCTCGTTGCTGTGAGGACGTCTGACGTCGGCAGGAAGTGACGCGGTAAACTCGCCCTCTGGCGGTGGAAGTGACCGGCTGAGCTGCTGCAGTGAACATGACGTCACTTCTGTCTGATCATGAACAGACTCTTTACATGAATACACAAAGAGAGTTTAAAAATTCTCTCTCTCCCCTCCACCAGGGGTGATCTACACCACCGACATGTTGGACCGCGAGACCAAGGACTCCTATTGGCTAACGGTGTACGCCAGCGACCACGGCGTGGTCCCCCAGTTCGCCACCATCGAGGTGTTCGTCCAGGTGGAGGACGTGAACGACAACGCCCCGCTGACCTCGGAGCCGCTGTACCGGCCCTCGGTGCCTGAGAACTCTCCACGAGACGTCTCTGTGATCCAGATCCAGGCCCAGGACCCTGACGCCACGCCCCCCGCCGCTGCGGACAGGCTCAACTACCGCATCATCAGCGGAAACCCGCAGAACTTCTTTGCCATCAACAGCCGCACTGGTGAGTAACAGTGTGTGTGTGTGTGTGTGTGTGTGAGTGATGTTTCATGTGCAGGTGTGAATGATGAAGAGTTCTTCTCTTCAGAGCAGCAGCTGGTCTCAGAGGTTGGGGGTGTTTCTCTGACTTGAACCAGGATCTGAGAGAGTTAGTGCTGCATCAGTAGATATGATGTCTGTGGACATCTTACTGAGATCTTCACGATCAATATTTGTGCAACTTCCCAAATACAGAAATGAACATTTCCTCTTTACGTTTATAAAAAACATAATTCAGTTTCACTGTTTTCTACAAAACGTATTTACTGTTTCACTTTAGTTGTTTAGGTCCCAGCCACATAAACAGAGTCCTCAGCTTCATCCAGACAGGAGCTTCTGTTGCACCTCATTCCCTCCCTCCCTCCCTCCCTCCCT